AGACTCAGACGGTTAAGAATCCACCTGCAATGTGGGAGATAGGGTTTATTCCCTGGGTGGAGAAGATCCCCTGGAGAAGGAAATGGTAATCCACTCCAGTACTCTTGCCTAGAGAATCCCATGGACAGAGGCGCCTGGAGGGCTACTGTCCATCAGTCCGCAAAGAGTCAGACACAACTGAGCAAGTAACACACACACATACACACAAACTAACAACTGATCGTGGGGCACTCACTTATATGGTCTTTCATAATAATGCATTGTTTGATCTTCACCCTACAAACCTTTAAAAACTGAAGTATAAATTCTTATCTTATTTTAAAAAATCATGAAAAAAAACAAATACCTAGAAGCTAAAACCAAAAACCCACAGCCTGAGTTCAGTTCCTTGCTCCAAAACGCAAGAGCTATGTGACCCTGAAAAAATTATTTAACCTATCTGAGCAATGTTTGCTAGGAAACCTTTGTAGATTTGCAAGTTTTTAGATAAATGACAAGATGCATGTAAACAGCCAGCACTCAGCAAATGGCAGTTCTCTGCCCACCTGATCCCTAGCCTAAGAAGCCTGGATACAGGCCTTCAGGTAAACTCGCAAGACTAATTGCCAAAGAAACGGGGCTGCGTCTCCTCTAGTAAGTGAGAATGAGACTCAGGGGAAGCAGCAGTGAGGGAAGGCCCCGCACCTGGCCATCAACATTTAAGACAAGGAGAGAGTGGAAGGAGGGCTCTCCCAGCACCATGCCCTCCACAGCCCTGTTCCGCTACTCATCCTAGGCCCTCTGCTGAAAACACAACAACTACTTAGGAAGACAAGACTGGGGCCACCAGCAAGAGTTTAAGGGGGCCGCCTGTCAGAAAGTAGGACTGTGTCCACATTATGTTTTCTGGCCCCTGGTAACGATACTATGGTTATGGATCAGAATGTCTTTTTCTTAGGAAATACACATTGAAGTACTGTCAGGTAAAGAGACGTGGTGGGTGCAACTTCCTATGTGCCAGGCATTATTCTAACTGCTTTACCTGAACTATTTTAGTAAATCCTCAGAGCAATCCTCTGAGGGAGATACCAAAACTAGCACTGTCTTCATTTCAGAGAGGAGAAAATCAAGGCATGAGGAGGGTGAGCAACTTGCCAAAAGCCACAACCAGTGAGGGGAGACCGAAGACTGCCAACTCAGGGCCTCACCTGGACTCTATAGTTAGAACAAACTGCGGGGTTGTCCCCAAAAGCCAGTAACAGTATGAAGGCGGTGCCAGGGACATTCTGGTAGGAGGTGGAACCTGTGCTGGGATACTGACCAGATCACTGATGCGACAGGCAGCGTGTCTGCCTCATTTAGTCATGCTTCCTCTGGGGCCCACAGGAGTCAACCCTTCCTGAGCCCCACAAGACTTGTCTCCCAGACTGGGGCACAGGGGGGAACAGCCTAGTGACAGGGAGGGAGCTAGTCCCTTTGGAAAAAACTGAGAAAGGTGGAAAGAACGACATCCAGCTCAGAATTTAATGTGCTGAATTTATCTTATTTGTTTGTTATTACCCTAAATGTCCCTGGGCAAAAAAAACAGTTTCCTTCTGAAAAGTCCTGAAATTAACATCCTGGCTGAATCCAGGAACCTGATCAACCGTGGCTCACTTCACTTTGAGATTTCCAAGGCCACTGATCAAGACCCCAGTATGGGCTGAAGTGCCACCGCCCTTGACCGGGACCCCATCATTCACTGGAGGCAAAGCTGTCGCAGGGACCCTCAGTCCCCTACTCTGAGGTCTGCGGGGGACTGAGGAAGACCTGCCCTCACCAATGCCGTCACAGCACACAGCACTTTCCACACTCCTCAAATCCTGTTTCTCAGGAGCCAGAGCTGTGGAGCATGTCCAGCTCCACAAGCTGTGGAATACAGGGGCTTCAAAGTGCAGGTTCACAGAGCCAGAGCCCAGTGCGCAGGGCCAGCATTGAGGGCAGCAGGCAGGCCGTGCAGCTGCGGACCCGCAGGCTGTCTCTTCAGTGACAAGGGCGGAGGGGTGGCGTGACCAGCTTGCCCTCCCCCTCCAGCCACCCTGCCATCCTTGGCCCTGACACCCCACTCGCCTCCGCCATGAAGCAACCATGACCATGTCCTGGCAAAATGGTTCTCTGTGGACTCCTGGACCACAGTCACTGGGACCGCTCAGCCCAGTACCCTGTGTCCATGCTGACTCATCTCTGCACGAGTCTTTCAGTTCCCCAGTCTGTCTGTCGGCACCTTGCTAATGAAATCTGTTGTCCTTCATTCCCTAGAATGCTCGGTACAATGACCAAAGAAGGCACTTAATACATATACCTGTAAATATAATCATTTGTATTGTAAAATTTTATTTTTATAAATAATAATTTTATTTGTTTGATTTGTATTTGCAGTGCTCAGGAATACAATGTTTTGATAGAGGAAGATACGGAAAAGCCAACACTGAGGCTGACAGTATAGCCCTCTTCCTTGAAAAGATACACCAAACACTCCTTGCAAGATACTCAAAACAGCCCCACACCCACATGTGCAGACCATGGGGCTCAGACCCAGGGACGTGCCTCAGTCCACTGGTCAACGAGGCAGAGGAGCAGGTGAGACACACAGTCTAGGTTCCAAAATCGTTTTCAGAAGGAAAAGTTAGAGCTGTTACTATAAGGGCTTCTACTATCATTAGCACTGTTGCCTCACGAATGACAGTGACATTTTCTTTCTAACCTTGCTAAATTTTAGCAAATACAACATGAGAGAGATAATCAAGACACCTGAGTCAGGGCGCATGCCCACAGCCAACAACACAGGCAGAAAACCGATTCCACCGTGCTTGACCCTAAGTGCATTCAAAGAGTAGAACACAGCCGAGTTTCCTCTATGCAAACACAAAGCAGATTGAGTAAATTGACTCTTACGCAGGAGTAAGGAGAAAGCATGCTTTGTTCTCCTGGATTACACTAATTTAGAGACAAGAAGTCCTGTGATATTCCAAGGCAGAGAAGGAAGTGGCACCCCCACAAGCAATCCCCCTAGGGACACTGCCCACCTGCTGCAGACGCAGGTTGGTGGGGCCTACAGACTCCCTCCCCCAAGCCTCGCTGTGCAGCTGAGGGTGGAAGCAGACACTCTCTGCTCTTGGCTACAGACCAAGGGGAGAATAGTGCACTGATCTGATACCAGATCACCCTTAGTACCACAAAGAACAGACCAGCCATGGCAAACCCAAATGTGACAAGCAGCCCAGCTGCCTGTGAGCTGGCAGAGAGGCCAGGCCCAGAGAACCCCTTCAGCAGGCAGCCCCCAGAAGGTCTTCCCCAAGGGGCAGAGGAGGCGGGAAATACCCAGCACCTCTGAGGATGAACTGGCCTTTGGACACCTGAGCCCATGCTTCAAGTGAAGGAGGCCTGGCCATGCAGACAGACAGCAGCAGGCACACAGCAAGCAGCAAGATGATGATGCAGACCGCACTCTTCACGTGAACCTCCAGAGCCCATGCTTCAAGTGAAGGAGGCCCGGCCGTGCAGACAGATAGCAGCAGGCACACAGCAAGCAGCAAGATGATGATGCAGACTGCACTCTTCACGTGAACCCCCAGAGCAGCTGTACACGGCAGGAATCATTCCCATTTCATGGACAGAGACACTAAGCCTTAGGGGGTTCAGCTGCCTTCCTTAAGCAAGAGCTTGAACCCAGGTTTAGTTGAAGCCAGAGCCCTCATTCTGCCCTTTGTCGTTCTGTCTCCTGACTCTCCCATCTTCTTGAAAGACAGCATGTTGTCAACAACCTCCCATTTTGGCTACAAGGGAACAGCCTAGTTACACCTGAACAGTAGGGACCAATAGTTTGCCAACAGGATCTTAAGATTCCTCTGCTGGGATACAAACTAATAGAGCATATGTAAGACAGACAAGGTCCTCCTGTAGAGCACAGAGACCTGTATTACCTGTATCTGTGGTAAACCAACATGGAGAAGAGGAGGAAAAAGAAAATATATATGTATAACTGAATCGCTATGGTACAGCAGAAATTAAGACAACATTGTAACACAACTATATTTCATGTTAAAAAAGAGATTCTTCTCTTCGGACAGGCTCTTGGAGGTCTTAGGGCAATGCTGGGCAATTTACAGGTGGAGGAAGCTTCACTTGGCTTCTAAACAAAACTAAAGATGTTCACATTTTTAAAATGAAAAGATATTTGGAAATTGGCTTTAAACACCAGGAAATATTGATGAGAAAGGGGGAGAGGCAGGGAGGAAGGGACCTGAAGCAGGGAGAAAGACCCCTGGCGAGGGTCAGTGCTGTGAAGCATCCTTGACCTCGACACACTTCCCGAGGCTCAGGAAACAGGACACAAGGAAACATATGACAGAACAAGCCACTCTCAGAGTCTCCCAGCCATATTTCCAGGTGCCCTCTCTCTCCTTCCTCTTCACAAAAGCCACAAGATCAGTCAATGAACTTCATACTTCGACTTCACGTTCTTCCAGCTCAAGAAATGCTCACAGCCTCAACCTGGGGCTTTACCCAAGAAACAACCCACTCCAGTACCAAATAGAAAAACACACAAGTACAACCTTTTTAAACTCCCAACAAATTGTTCTTTCTATTTTCTTGTTTTAATTACATGCTTGAACACAGACTCTATATATCCTTCTTTATTTAAAATTATTTTAAAATAGTGACTTAAAATTACTTCAAAAAATTCTCTAAAACCAGGATGAAGAATACTAGGTCAATAATTATTTCTTGGGATCAGTCAGTGCTTCTCAGATACACAGCAGAAAGCCTCTCCCAAAACACAGGTCACTCAAAGTGGAAGGAACTTCTGACTCTCAGACACACCCTCTTTCTATACTAAAAAGAAAACATTGCCTTTGTGACAACACAAACCTCTTCTTTTAACCAAAAACAACATCTTCTGCACATCCCAGGGTCAGGACCGCCTACCATTTGCAAACACACCACAGCAGAATGACGCAAAGTGGGCAGGAAGGACTTACAGCTGAAGATGCCGGGAGGTGGGTGCTCTGTCACCAGGAGACAGTTTTCTTCGTCACTGTTGTCCCCACAGTCGTTCTGCTGGTTACAGACCAGGGAACCCAGATACAAGCACTGCCCGCTGGTGCAGGTGAATTTGCACTCTGAAAAAGCACAAGACAAAGCATGTGGTTGTCAATGCCAGCCTGAGGCTCCCCAGCTGCCACTTCTGCTCCCCCATCTGTATGCTGTGATGGTCTGGAACCCATCTACCTAGAGAACCCAGGGAACCGAGCTCAGACAGGGCCCAGGAGCACCCAGGCCTGCCGGACCTTACTCACCCCCTACCTCTGACCCACAAAATAATAGCACAGGTGCTTTCTTTACACAACATGCCCAGCAAAAGTCACAGTTATGGAACTCTTTGCTTGAAAAAAAATCCTTGTCAGTCTTCACCGCCACCAAGGAAGGAGAAGCCAGTGCAGCAGCAGTGAAAAATGTGCTCTGAACAGTCCAAGGTACTCTGCCTCAGACTTCCAGTCCAAGTACCCTTCAGAGCAGCCTGAAAAAACTACCCAACTGTCATCAGAACACCATCAGGTATTTTAAAAGTCCTTCAGAACTGGAACTGGCAAACAGCACTATTTCTCTTCTACATTCAAAAGCACTGAATCAAAGAATGAATGGATGCTTTTCTGTGTTTTCCTGTGTACAGAATGTGCAGAGGTGTTCTCATTAGCTTCTTAGAACAGTAATAGAAGCACCCATGGAAGCAGATAAGAATGCCTTAACATTCTCTGCAAACAAAAGGTGCAACAGTACATGCAAGGTATCAAATACATGGGAAATAGTCTGAAAGGATGCTCGCCAAAACACAAACAGTGACACTTCTGGGTGCTAGGATCATTGGTAATCTGTAGTTCTTTGTGACTTTTATGTACCATTTTATAATCAGGAAGATATAAAGCCTATTTTAAAGTGAGAAAAATCTCTGAAATCAAATGTTCATAGAATTCGAAACCCACCATAATGAAGTACCTATAACATCATACAAACAGAAGTCTAGACACACAGTTCCAGCCCCACCGTCCCAATCACACTGTAAGGCACAGACCTCACGGGGGCACCCCAGAAAGAGCAGCAGTAAAAGCACAGACACCAGCTGGCAGTTCCCTCCTGAGGACTCGCTGCAGAGTGCTGGTGGGGGGGTGGGGGGGGAGAAAATCCCGCAGAGCCACAGCCCGAAGTGCGGGAGTAATGTTGAAGGCCAGACGGCGTGCTGACGACCAGGCTGGTACCGTATCTACAGGCTTTAATAAGGGCCTCTAAAAAGGATCTAACCGCACAGCCCTGAGCATTTAATGCACATCCGTGAAGACTAACCCTGCACACCCCACTCACAACAGCTCCATGGAGGAGCAACAAGAGTTCTGAACTGCCCGCCGACATGTGCGCACATCCCTGAGGACGATACCCAACCTGCAGGACCCACTAGATGGCTGCACAGGCATTCACGGCACAAACCTGGGCCCCAACGGGGGAAACAGGGGTGAAAATGCAGCGGTGACCCTCAGGTATTATGACCACTGAGCCTCAGGACTCCTTCCCTCAAGTCACTCTTTCATTCATTCTTGCAAGAGTCCTCACTACTCTGGCAAGGAGCGTGGCCACAGGTGCCAAGGACCGAACAGACAGTTCCATCTAAGAGTTTCTCCTTCAGCTCTTCAACTAAACACTGTGCTTTCCTCAGGCAAGAACAAAACTCTTAGCCTCTCAACTGCTTCCTGGTCAACGTGGTGCTGGGACTAAAGCAGTGACTCTGCATTTTCCTCTGACAGCCCAGGGCCCAGAGGATATGAGGTTTGGGGTCAGTGAGTGTCCCCACAGGATTGCTAAATCTGTGAGCAGGTAGATACCCTCGAGATTTCTCTGCAAGACAGCATCCCCCAGCTGAAAAATCTGACAGCTACCTACTGCCTTACATTCTAAAAGTCCTTCCAGTTCTTAGAAACCACAAGTCCACAGTTTTAAGAAAGAAATGTTAAAGAATGACACTCCACTTGAGCCCTTCAGTACCTTGAGTACCAAAGGTACTTCCGGTGCTCACTCTTCATTATTCTAATGATTATCCTAATGACAGGTGCTAACTCTGGACAGGGATCACACTGATCACCAGTGGACACAGTGATCAATACACTGACTGGACACATTGATCAGAACTGGAAACAGTGATCAATACACTGACTGGACACATTGATCAGAACTGGACACAGTGATCATCAATACCACCTCCACGGGATCCTTTGCAGCAGCATCACTAAAGCGCTGTAACCTCCCCGTCTTTAAAATACAATGCTCTGGGCCGCACTCACATGTTTCCACTCCCAGGGCTCAGGCCTCTGTTTCTTCCCAGCAAATCTGGTCAGGCTTTGGCCCCGTCACTGCACACCAGGCCATGGACACCCTCCACATCAACTCCAGTGCAGCACCTAGGCCGTATCTCGTCCACAGGGTCACAGAGTCAGATGCGACACAGTGACTAAACAAGACTGCATGTATGTTTCTGATAAACGTGGAAGTGGAGCAGCCGTAGCAGCACACTCAGGTCGCCTGCATGGTAAGCAGGTGCTGTCCAGCAGTGAGGCACAGTAACACATGCATCTGAAACAAGTCTGGGTGCTGACCACAGAGCTCTGTCCCAAACACTCTTCAGAGGTAAAACTGAAGGAAAACTCCCAGAGAAAAAGTCTTAAAATCTGCAGCACCATGTGTTTTATTATCCTCCATAGTGCATCAGACCACATTAAATTTATGGGCCACATGCAAGAGAAGAGGCCAACAGTCCTGGCCTAAAACTGCCATTAACAAACAGTCATTTGCTTTTATTGCTGAATCAGTGTCTGGGCTCCAAAGGTCAAGGACTGAAATCCACCTTCAATCATCACACACTGATCTGAGTGAGCACTGTCATGATCCTAACTCACCTCATGGACCGTCCGCCTGGGGTACACGCACTGCACCCTGTGACCCACCCTGCATGTCCCCTACCAGTGCACCAGGAAGCCACACCCCGAGGTCCCACAGTGAGCAGGGGTGGGTCTGAGCACTGGGGAGAGTTAGGGTTATGCTCTACCCCAGCCCACACCAGGCTCCCAGTCAAGGGCAGGCAGGATGGCTGAATACGCTGGGACTCCAGAGCGGGAGGGTCCAGCACTACAGAGAGCAGGCTCCCTGGCATGGCTGAGATGAACAACAGACTAGTCCCTCAACATCCTGTCCTGTCTGGGTCCTGCGGATGCCAGAGCCTCTGTCATCTCCAAGACAAAGAAAATGCCTCGCCGGCATTGGTCACACCACTCATGTCACCACTTAATCAAGATGGTTTATAGATGGTTTTGTCATCTCAGAAAGCCACAAGACCTCAGCAACACTTCCCAGTCGAGACACCTGATCCTCACCAGCTGGGGGTCGAGGTCACCTGAGGGCTGGGGACTCAACAGGTGTCAGCAGTTAGGTGGGCGGTCTGAGTCCCAATGACACCACAGCAAGAAACGTGCTGCACAACCAGACACAACTTTACCAGCTGCCATAAAGAAATAGGAAACTGGTGTCTTGAAAGCTATACAAGGATCATCACAAAACTTCACTCCGTCCAGGGGAAAGGACTAATAAGGGAGGAGCCGTCTCTCACACTAAGCGAACCGTCCACGGCAGAGGTGTCAGCGGGACAGGGTCCAGGAGCACAGGGTCCTCACACCCACCCTGCCAGGGAGGCCAAGGCCAACAGGTCTCCAGTGAGACACCCACACACCTGCATACCGGCACCCTCTCATTCGACATAACCTCCATGCCTGTGGTACTGACATATGAGACAGAGAACAAGACTTGTGGCTGAGATTGAGTTATCATGCCAGCACTGTCTTCAGAGAGGTGGTGATACCCTCCTGTGAGCTCACAGCCTCCATTCTCAGATCACACATTCTCGTCAAGGCTACCAGTCTAGTCACAAACTCCAGCTCTGCCATCAACCAGCTGCACTGCACGGTCTCCTTCAGCCTCAGTTTTTTCACATATAAAATACCTACTGTGAGACTGAACAGATGCCATACATGCAGTGCTCAATATAGTGTCTGACTCATGGCATATATACAACCAAACGGAAGCTAACAACACATCTGATATTATAATCATTATCAGCACCTCAAAAAACAGACTTGGGATCATGGAAGTACTTCTGGATTTGACCAGTGCAGATGTGAACTCTAAAACTTTTCCAAAGCTAAATAGGTAACTATCATAAAAAAACAAATTGGGAGCCACAGTTATGATGTCCATGTGATCTCCGCAGGGGCCCCCTTGCATCAGGGTTGGCATGTCTGTCCCTCATGAATGAGGCTGCCACATCACAGCTACTTTTATATCAAACCAAAGTATGTCTTCACCAGGTTTCTCTCAAAACTATATTTTTCTTTTATTACTTTTATAACCCACATATTAATGATTTCCATTCTTTGCATGCATTTCTAAAATATTACAATTGAAGTGAACATTAAAATAGTTCCTGAATATGTATGCATGCAGGCTCAGTCGATACAGTCAAGTCCAACTCTGCAACCCAATGGACTGTAGCCCGCCAGGCTCCTCTGTCCATGGGATTCCCAAGCAAGAATACTGGAGTGGGTTGTCATGCCCTTCTCTAGACCTGAATTTTAAATCTCTGGCTTTTTAGTAAAATATACTTAAAAGAGGAAGTAAAAGTCATTTCCCAGGCCACACTAACCATGGGGGTGGGGGTTGGGACCATGACATCGAGATTTATCATAAGAAATATATATTTGGTCTCAGTCACAGTTTCTGACCCAGGGCTCCTAAAACCCTTGGAATTTCCTAAATGGTAAGAGCCATGAAGGTCTTCTGTTATTCATGCCAAGGCCCCGGTCAATGAGGTGACTTTGGGAAGCCCCTAACGGTTCCCCAAGGGAACCGCCCATGGGATCAGAAGGCTGGCACTTTCAGCCCCACCCTCAGGCCTCTGCTGGGGGAGAAGGGCTGGAGACTGAGCCAGTCCCAATAGCCAGTGAGCTCACCACTCCTGCCAGGATGATGAGACATCCATAACACCCCAGAGGACAGGGTCAGAGGGCTTCCAGGCTGGTGACCATGGGAGGTCTGGGGAAGGCGGTGCCTGAGAGGATGTCAGGCTCCACACCCTTTCCTTACGCCACTGTGCCCTGGCCTTTCTTGACCAGTAACATTATACCTCAACTGCTTCCCTGAGTTCTGTGAGCCACTCCAGCAAGTCTACCAAATCTCAGGAGGGACCACAAGAACCTCCAATTGATCAGCCAGCTGGTCAGAAGCACAGGTGATCACCTGGACTTGGGAATCGTGTCTGAAAAGGGCAGTGCCTCGGGGTCTGGGCCATTTCAGGCAGAAAGGGTCAAAACCAACAAAGCTGCAGGACATCAAGCTGTGTCGCAGTTGCCTGGTGAGGGAAACACCCACATGTCTGGTGGCCAGCACTGTGAGTGCTGTGTGTAGACACAGAAAACAGAAGAGTTTTTTCCTTTACCAACAAAAACCCTGGCCCATAGCCTGCATGTGGCTCTGAAGCTGACCAGTCTCTTTCACCAAGATGGTCCCTGTCCTCCTCCCAGGCCTTGCCACTCTCCCCTCATTCTGGGACCTATACACAACAGGAAAAACCCATCTTAAGGCCACAGACTTCCCATGCCTTTCTTGTAGAGATGAAACCTATGAGGACCAGTCTGAAGTCTGTTGTTTACACTCCAGGTCCTTCAAAGACACAACCATGAGGTTTCTACAAAGACACCCTCCAACCAAAGACAACTACAGAAGGTTGGAACCCAGTGGTACAGAGTCATCAAATCACACAGGTGACCATCATATTAATTCCTGACTTCACAGAGAAACTGAAGCCCAGAGAAGTTAGGTAACTCACCCAAGGTCACACAACTAAGTAAGGAAAGAAATAGTAATGTACCCCCTCATCGACCTCTGGTAACAAAGCGAATGGCCAGGGGTTTAGTATCTGTTCTCAGATGCACTCTTTTAATATTATAAAGCAGTAATATTAAACTATACTGGACACATACAAATAATTGTTCTTTTTTATCACAAAGAAACAGTAATTTTGGGTTCATTATGTTTATATTTTCAATTTTAAAAAAAGAAAAATTGTAAGATATGGATAAGTAAATCTAAGAAAGGAAACTTCATTATGTATTGCTATCACTTGAAGGTAGCCACTAGTAACATTTTGGTGCACATCTACCTATATTGTCTTTGTTCTTTGAGTATCAAAATAAAAGGATCGCCTTCTTCTTATTGCTTTATGACTTTTCACTTGACTTTTTTCACTTAAAAATATAAGCATTTCTCCAGAACGTGAAACACTAAAACATCCTTTGTAGTAGCTGCAGGGAATTTCATCACAATGACATACCATTGTTACTTAGCCATGTGTTATTCTGGGACTTGGAGAAGGAAATGGCAACTCACTCCAGTTCTCTTTCCTAGAAAATTCCATGGACAGAGGAGCCTTGTAAGCTACAGTACATGGGGTCGCAAAGAGTCAGACATGACTGAGAGACTTCACTTCACTTCATTCTGGGACCAGTTCACTCTATCTTTTTTTTTTTGCTTGTGAGATATTAGTTCCCCAACCAGCAATTGAACCCAGGCCCTCGACAGTGACAGCATGGAGTCCTAACCATTGAACTACCAGAGACTTTCCCATTATATTTTAATATTGCTATATTTCTAAATTTCAATTCTGCCACCAGGGTCAGCAATTCCCTTTAGTCTCCTATCATCTGCAAATCTGATAAGCATGTTTTTTTAATCACCTTCGCCCAAGTGCTCCACAAGAAAGCCTGGAGACACAGCCATTAGAGTCCCTACCTGGCTAATGCTATTCATTCATCGACATGCTTTGAGATCACCAAATAGAAACTCTAGTTATTCAGGAGTCTCCCAGTCATGACAAATATTCAGTACTTCCTCAATTCACTATATGTATTAAATGTATTATAAGCAGCACTGACAAAGGAGCTATAAAAATGACTGCAAAGAGTTAGGAATACTTACATAAATGAGAACTTTTATGACTCCTGTTCACAAAAAAGTACCTAGATTTGGCATTCCAAAAATTGTTTTTCACTTAAAAATCAAAAAAAGCTTTAAAATATTTCATAAACTTCTTTTTAATTAGAAAAAAAAATCCCTGCAATGCCAGAAACTATTTGGGAAACACATTGAGATGGTTAAAATTGTGTTTAAGTCACTAGAGATAAAAATCTTTTAATTCAAGATTTAGCTACTGGGCAACTTCCACTGCCAAGCCATGAGCTTTTGGAAACAGATATTCATATGAAAGCATGATTCAGGCCACAGCAGCAAGTCCTGGAACCAGAGCAGTAGCTTGTCGGTTCTGACCCTGTCTGCCTGGACCCACAGCACTGCCCCTTCAGACACCAGGCAGTGACCTGTGCTTCTGACTACCCAGCGATCAACTGGAGAACGGCTTTCCGGGCCAGGCTGGGCGGCTGAGGAGGGTTCTGGAGAGCTGAGCTCCACATGCTCCTCTGAAGCAGCCACCAAACTCAACTTCCTGGGCCCTGACCACCCACGGGCCCTCCCCCAGCTGGGCCCCCAGGAGGGGGCTCCCATGTTTCACATGCTTGGCTGCTCCAGTCGTGGTTCTCCTATGAGAGCTGCACGTGGCCTTGTTGGCTGTCAAACCAGCAAAGGGAGCAGGGCTGACCCTGGTGAGTGTCCACGAGCAGGGCAGGCAGGGGGGCCGAGCCTCAAGCTCTCTCCAGGCACCTGACACCCCAACCTGCCTGCTATACACAACGGGGAAACCTGCAAACTCAGAGTGAGAAACACAGTCACTTCTTGTAATTTCCCCACCATCCCTACCTTAATAGGGAAAAACCTATTTTATGTAAAACTGTTTTCCCTGGATTCCATGACGTTCTTCAGCTTCAAGATTCCCATTTTATAAACGAGGAGTGAAAGGCCCATAAGAATTAGTGGCTTCCTGGGATGTTAAGTGATTCAGACAAAGAACCAAGACCCAACTCAAAAACCCCTGATCATGCCCTGGCTCTGTGCACCATCCAGACAGAGTGGTTCCCTTCGAGGGGTGCAGACTAGATGGGGCAGAGAGGGGCTCATCCACAAGTCCTTACAGGAGCAGGTCAGCGCTCAGAGTTGCCGCCCACTACTGCCTGCATGTGGGTGAGGCTCAGAGGGAGAATGTACTCATCGGCCGTGACTGTCCCCTCCGAGTTCCCCAGCTCTGGGCAGACAGATCCCCTGACATATGCACTGCAAGGGATGGATTTTTTTCAGGGGCAGTGGCTCGTGGGACACTGTGCCCTACGACTCAACAAAGCAGAATCATAAAATGTCTGATGCTGTTTCAAATTCCTCGCTACAGAAAAGGATAAAACACAATAGTTTTGCCAAAATCATTCCCCGTGGCAGCCTCAGCCCCCAGACACTGTGGGGCTTGAGCTCCTAAACACAGACATACATTCAACTCCTACAACTGCTCAGTGTCTCGTTACCTACTAAGAGTGAAATAACATGCTCAGTTCAGCATGGAGGATTCTCACCTGTGAAAGCATTCGTGGCCTGAAAGCCAGCTTCCTGCATACTGCTCCCCAGCAGGCCTGGCTCCAGCTCCTCAGCTGTCCTGTCCCCAGGAACGTCCAGGAAGCCTCAGGTCACCTCCATCTCAGCTTGCTTGAGGCCATCTGCTGCTGTCTGGCTTCTGGGAGCATCTGACACTGACCAGCCTGGCTCCCAGCCCGAGAGCAGGTGGTACCTGACACAGCACCCAGTCCAGCAGCACGCAGCTGGGGGCACTAGTCACGTCAGCTGTCCAGTCAAAGAGTGGAGGCCCTGGTGGACCCAGGAGCAAGGAAGCTGTCCCATGGACACTGGCCTTCCCACCTCAGAGGGAGGGCCTGGCAGCCAGAATTCTCCAGAGGTCTCAGCTGCTCCAGGCAGGGGGGCTCAGGAAGGTCTGATCTGCAGTTCTCTGTGCTTTGCCTCTCCCCTTGCTGAAATTAAAAAGAAAGAGATCACTTTCCTGATGATCTGTAAAGCCTGAATTCAGTAGACCACAGAGGCCAAGAAAGAAAACAAAGACACCCCCAGAGCCATGCCTGAAACCACACTGCGGGGACAGTGGGGCAACCTCTCCCGCTACTGTGAGGGGCCGGATGAGGGTGTCCTATCCCCGGACCAAAACGAAACCAGAGGCTCCGAGCAACTCCAAGAACAGTGACAAAGGTCACACGCATCCAACACAGACACCTGGAGGAGAAACCCATTTCCTCAGCAGGTTCCCAAAGTCTTGGAAATGGATCTGAGGTCCACACCCACTGCTGCCAGCACATCAGAAGGGATGGGGGTTGAGCTGCTTCAAAAAGTGACCATCAGGGGGGAAACAAAGGCCAGTGATAAATTTATTGGAAGAATATGAAGGAAAAGCAAATTTAACCTATAAACTGTTTAATATATATTGCATAGAACATGATAATAAAAGTACTTTATAAGTACTTATCAGCTACTTTAATGCTGTTAAACTATATAAGAAGCAACATCAACAACAAGAATGTTAGAAGCCCAAAGGACCAGACTTTTAAAACAGAATCCCAAATATGAATCTCCGGTATTGGAGAAAAGGAACCTTTTTTTCCATTATTATCACTTCATGCTAATCAATTTATAGAAAATATAACTTTATTCCTCTTTTTCAAACTAGAGAAAAGAAAAAAATTAAGAAACCAGCACATAACAGAAAGAAGCCCTCTGTTAAAACCCTCCTGCTATAAATATAAGGTAATAAAATATCACTCATACAGATGCACCGGAAGGAAGGCCTTATATATTAATGAAGCACCTTAATTATATTACAAAAGAAATGTAACTGCATTGCCCTCATGTACTTGCAGTAATAATCTCAGTTAATGAAGTGCACCCCAGTAGGAGTCCTCAAGTTTAATGAATAGGTTAAAAATTTAATTCACAATCATTTATGTAACTGGTGGGTCTGAAGTGCTTGAAAAATGTGAGAAAATGTTCCTTCTCTGAATTTAAACATTCCATACTGAATGACCAATACCCATAGTTATCAGCATCCTGCACGCCGACACCAGCGTCTGAAGTGCCATGTGCACTGGAGCCGTCCACCTCAGGGAACAGAACTGCCAGATAAACAGAAAAGTCCGCCTGCCCTACAACCCTGATAACCCTTACTCTAGTCTAGGGTGCTCTCAATGCACAGGAATACCAGACTGTATTTGTTCTCTTTCTCTGATCTCAAAGAGAAACACAAGTGTGGTGAGGCTTTTGCTGCTTTATTGACGAGTTTTGTTTAACTATCCTGTTTTGTTGCAAAAGGCATGCTACCTCAATTTTTTAAAAAAAAAAAAGGTTTTTTTTTTGGCTGTGGGAAAGACTGAGGCTGATATGGACTGAAACAGAAGAAACAACACACTCTTCCTTTCTTTTCTCTTCCTGTCTGTCACAGTCACTAATGCTTAACTTTGCTTCTTCAAAAAAGAGAGATGGAGACAGGTGTGTAACAACTCCCTGAGGTCTTGGGCATAGATGGTCTTGGCCTGGATGTTTAGGGAATGACATGTGTGATTCCCAACACAGGCTGAAGGGACAGCATTTATTTCGATTATCTTCACTGACTGATGACGAGCATATTCCTACATACATTTGAAGTCTCCTTATAAGCATTTTCAAGTGAAAATGAAACTGTAAGTGCCATAAAATGTTTTCTTCCTAACCACTAACAACACAGATAAGATGCCCTTTCTAAAAACACACAGAAAGAGGGGTGGGTCTCCACTGGGCTGGGAAACAAGGCAGGGGTGACTGGGACCCAGGGTCAGCAGAGGCACCACATGTCCATTTTCACAACTCAGCAACCAGTCAAAAATCAGGAAAAAGGTGCAGAAGCTGAACACGTCTCAGTCCTGCGTGCCTCCCACCATTACGGGCCCTGCTTACCTTCCGGTCTCAGAAATGGACCCTCGCCCACCCCTAGGGCTAAAGGCAGACAGAGCCAGGTGATCTGGCTCAGGGCCCTAGAAGAGCTGTGGCTGCCTGCAAGGTGCTGACGGCTCAGCCATCTCTCCGTGGGCCAACAAGCCCCACAGGGATATTTCCCTTGAGCACCTAAGGTGTTGCCTGGCGGGCATCAGTAGGATGAGCCCATTGAATGACAGAGGAGTGGACCAAGGCTGCTGGTCCACTGAACAACAGGTGAGTGGACCAAGGCTGCTGGTGCTGGGAGGTCTACTGAACGACGGGTGAGTGGACCAAGGCCACTGGTACTGGGAGGAAGAGTAGAGAGGCTCAGCTGACCCTACAAACCAGCCTGCCGCCCTGAGCAGAGCTGAGCGATGGCATCTGGGCTGATAGGCTGTTCTCCTCTGGCTCTGATCTCTGAAGGGGCAGGGCCTCTGTGACCACCCCACGGTCACCACACAGCAGAGCGCCCACACAGGCCCACTGGAGCTCACTGCTCTGAACCTTCTCAAACCACAGGGACGACTCTAACCCTACAGAGGTCACAGACTCTGCCCTGAAACGAGTGCTCAGGAGTCGGGATCAGCGCCTGGTCTCTGACCCTTCCAACCACTGTTCTTCCCATGCTACTTCTGAGTCTCAGGTTATCTCCAACACCCTGGTAACACTCAAATTAGGAAAACCTGGAGGGAAGAGGAAGAATAAAGAGAGAAAGAGGCAACTTACCCAGGATGCAAGGTCACAGAGTAACCTGGACTCATTCAAGAGCCCCCTCTACACAAGCACACTATCATTGCCCTGTCATGGACACACTCACACACACATGTGCTGTTTACACCAAGAAGAAGGGCAGGACTAACCAGGAAATAAATCAATTCAACACTGCACTTGAAATATATGGTTAAGTCCCTCCCATAACAGAGCAACAGTTACTAAGGAAATAGAGCACGCAAGATGGATAAACACTCCCACAGGAAGAGACTTTTTTTAAAAACGTGAACACCCACAAAACCCTAACTAAGTAAGCTGCAGAACATGTTTACCACTTGTTCACAACAATTCATATGAAACGCAGTGTCCCTAGAATCACTGGGGAGAGAAAAGAACTGCATTCCACAGACGAACCCTATCATGAAAGCTCAACTGCAGAGACACAAGGTTCAGGCAACACAAGGTCACACACTGGGCATAGAGGCCAAAGTCAACAGAGAAGTCAAACCTCCTTTTCTAAAAACCTAGCAACATGAGTGCAAGTGCAGTGTATCAGGGATCAGCACCTCAGTTTCGTTTCTGATTTCCGCACGCCGTGGACTGCTGGCCTCTTTGGCGTGCCGGTTACCTGGGTGACGGCCAAACAGCAGCCGAAGGCTCTGGGTCAAAGCAGCCCCGCCTGAGGCCCTACCCTGCTTGACCCTCAGAGTAAGCAGCACCGAGGGGTGAAGGATGGTCCCACCCTCGACAAATCAAAGCACTGTATCAGCGTACCACACTGCTTACCAGAGGGGAAAAAAAGACTCAACTACTGACTGGTTGGGCTTCCCTTGTGGCTCAGCTGATAAAAAATCCACCTGCAATGTGGGAGACCTGGGTTTGATCCCTGGGTTGGGAAGATCCCCTGGAGAAGGGAAAGGCTACCCACTCCAGTATTCTGGCCTGGAGAATTCCATGGACTATACAGCCCATGGGGCTGCAAAGAGTCACGCAACTTTCACTTCACTGGCGGGGTCATCAAAGGTCAAAGTGGCAACGGACCCTGAGCGAGACAGAGGTGAGAAAAAGAAGGACAAGAAACCTGAGGGTCTGCTTCTGGCCCAAGCCTGAAGCCCTCCACCCCATGGACAGACACACAGACCTGGGCAGTGCCAGTCCATCTAGGACTTGCTCACAGGAGCCACCATCCTGCCCTGGGTCAGGCTCAGCCAGGCTACAGCATCCTTGCATACCCTGAAGTGGCAGAGCTAAAGGTCCCTTCTGATCCAAGCAGGCCCCAGTGGCCATGTCTCTGGTCAAGGGAGATAGGACAGATGTGCACAAAAAGGACACAGCAAACGGGCCGAGAAAATCTGCACAGAACCAAGTCTGAGACAAAGGGCTGTCTACATGACAGTACAGGTCTTTCTCACTGTTCTTCATCTCTGGGATTTGAGTATACGATAATCTGAGCTGATGCTGAAGCTGAAACTCCCAATACTTTGGCCACCTCATGTGAAGAGTTGACTCATTGGAAAAGACCCTGATGCTGGGAGGGATTGGGAACAGGAGGAGAAGGGGATGACAGAGGATGAGATGGCTGGATGGCATCACCGACTTGATGGGCATGAGTCTGAGTAAACTCCAGGAGTTTGTGATGGACAGGGAGGCCTAGCGTGCTGTGATTCATGGGGTCGCAAAGAGTTGGACACGACTAAGCGACTGAACTGAACTGAATCTGCAGCTGTTAAAACACAAACTCAAAGCCATCGAGCTCTGGGCAGCTCGATGGGCTCCAGGCACTCAGAGGTAAAACACTCTTCAAATATGCACACAAGATGCAAACAGGGAAGGCAGCAATTCCATTAGACCATCCTTTAAAATGTCACCTCAGCTAATCCAAACACTTGATAAAACCTAAAGGACCTACAGTCTGAGCTCTACCCAAACTAA